TGTGAGGTTCCCTAGGTCCCTGCCTAGAGCCAGCTCTGAGCTCTGACATCTATCCCTCTCCCTCCATGAGGCCACTCAAATCGCAGGTCGGCTTTGTAGCTGTGGCTTCTGTCTGCGGACACAGTCTCTCAGGGAAAGGGCTCTGAGTGCCAGGGCCCCTCCAGGCTCCTTGTCCTCCACATGGAATCAAGAACCTCACTCGCTTGTTGGCTCATTGGTGCCTTTGAGAAGTATGTTTATCGGCCTTTTTTGGTGGTCTGGGTAACAGAGCCTCCTCACCTAAGGGGGAGTCCTAAAGGTCTTTTCTAAAAGCACAGTTCTGACCACAATCTTCCCAGGAGTGAGTCAGGACAGCCTCGAGCCCAGCTCTGTGATCGCTAACACATTTGACCCTGCCCAGCACCCTGTGAGGCCAGCAGCAGCCTTAGCCCCGCCTCAGAGGTAAACATCCAGAGCGCAGAGAGCGCAGGCTGCACCTGGTGGTTGCATAGCCAGCGAGTGGCAGGGTCAGGCTGTCCAGCTGCAAAGATGCTGCTCCCCTTCCTCTGCTCAGGAGCTTCTAGGGCTCCCACTTCCCAGAGTCCTGAGCACAGAAGCCACCTGGTCATTGAGGCCCTTGCAGCCTCCCCTGGCAATGCTGGCCCCTGCGCTCCCCGCCTCTGCTCTATGGGCACTCCTGCCCTTACCTGATCCTTCCAGACCAGAGGCTGGGACCCTGTCCTACCCTCCGAAGGCCCCTGGCTGGAATGGGATCCAGAAGCTCAGGCTGCTGAGCAGACCTGAATGCCTCACATGTCAAAGACCAGGGCCCACACTGGGGCTCCCTGACCCCAGATCGGCAGCCCAGGGCTGGGTACCCTGCAGGGCATCTGGGACACAACCTGTCTAGGAGGCAACGGATCAGGCTGAGGGGTCCCTGTCTGGGACCAGGAACTGCCAGGCCATCCCGGGATGCTCTTCCCAAGCCCAGCTCACCCTCGCAGGGTGCCTGGTGGGGGAGGCTGGGAGGCTATGCCCACCCACAGCCCCCATCAGTCCCTCTCTGGCTTTCTGCCCTGACAGGTGAACAACAATGGGATCATCTCCTTCCTGAAGGAGGTTTCTCAGTTCACCCCGGTGGCCTTTCCCATCGCCAAGGACCGCTGTGTGGTGGCGGCCTTCTGGGCGGATGTGGACAACCGGCGTGCAGGGGACGTGTACTACCGGGAGGCCGCCGACCCCGCCATGCTGCGCAGAGCCACGGAGGATGTCAGACGCTACTTCCCCGAGCTCCCAGACTTCTCTGCCACCTGGGTTTTCATCGCCACCTGGTACCGCGTGACCTTCTTTGGCGGCAGCTCCTCCTCCCCCGTGAGTTTCTGTCCTGGGGAAGGGAGGAGGTACAGCTGGGCCCAGGCCTCCCTCCAGGGCACCCACCTTGCCGAGGGGTCAGCTTTAGTTGCCGGCCCATGCCTGAGAAGAAAAGCTGGGTTCAGGCACGGGAGTCACTCACGAAGGTCCGAGCCTGACAAGGCCCGGGAGAGTAGCTCACACGCTGGGGAGACGAGAAGGATGATGTGTTACCGGGTTTTCCGTTGGGAATGCTTCTGTCCTCAAAGGGTCAGTCAGGAAGTTATCGCATCTTATACTTCATCCTTGACTGTGCCAAACAACAAAGTGTGAGCTCAGGAGTAACTGAGCACTCTGCCCAGCATGGTAGTCCTGGTGCGGGTCCCCCTGAGTGGGTCCCCCCCGCAATGAGGACAGTGCTGTCCCTCCTGGGGGTCACACCATGCACGAGGAGGCACTGGGAGCAGAGAGGTTCTCTGAGCTGTTTGTTCACGCATTTAACCCACATTTCTGTAGGGGCACCTCTCGGGGGCCAGGCCCTGGATAGAGCAGATTGGACACAGCTCTTCTGGGGTGTCACAAACGACCATGTGATAAAGGTGCCAGTTGCCCTGAAGTGGCCAGCATGGCTGTGCCAGCCGGAGGGTGGGTCTGAGCCACGTGGGGAGGTGAGGGTAGAGGACCAGGATGGCTCAGAGCAGCCACGGGGCGGGGGGGGCGGTGGATGTGACAGGACACGGCAGGAAGGGGAGCAGCAGCACTCACAGCAGAGCCTGGTTCCTGTCACACACACAGGGGAGGGTGGGTGGACGGGGGGCCTGCACTCAGGCTCTGGGGGTGCAGGTGAGGGACTCGGTTCCGGATGTGCCAAGATGGCCATGCCCAGCGGGCATCTAGAGATGGAGCCCATGGTCCTTAGAGGTGGCTCAGGGGAACTGGGAAAGTGGGCAAGTGGGTCAAGGGAGGGATGTGCCAAGTGACGAGATGCCCACAGACTCTGAGCTCCCCAGCAGCCAAAATGAACAAGTGAGAGAGGAAGAAGGAAGTTAGCAGGTGTCTACAAGAGGGAGACACTCAGTGTGTGGGCCTTTCTGTGAACATTACTGCAAAGCCGCGCACTGGTGGACTTCTGTGCATACAGAGCTCACTGGTATTTTGTAAGTTTTGTTTGTTTGTTTTCTTTCCACCAATTTGTAACAGAACAACTTTGTAACAAAAGGTAAAGAAAACCCAACTATAATTTCTCTCCCAGAAGACAACTCCCCATCAACATTTCCTAGTGTCCACTGACCCACAGTCTAAAAAATAAATAGAGCTGCCAAGAACATGCTGTTTTGTGAGTGGTTGTTGTTTTGTTTTTCACTCAACAGTATTGTGGGCATTGTCCTCATTTTATATGTTCTCTTACCTCATTTTAAAAATTACTCTTTCACCTCTGTGGAGGAAGAGGCACCCAGAACGCCTCCGGAGTTGACAGAGAATCTTAACGTTCCCATTTCCAAACCCGGAGATGTGGGTTAGAAAAGGAATATCCACATCACATCCTCAGAAGACAGGGAGTCGAGATCCTGAGTTTGGGCTGGGAGGTGGCCTGTGACAGGGAGACTTGGGAGCCCTCTCTGCAGCGGCAGCTCTGGAAGCAGGTGATCCACAGGCGGTGACAGGGCAGCTGCTAACGCTCCTCAAATCCGGGCCTCACCTGCACACACGCTGCCCGGACCGACCGTGCTGCCACTCCGCCTTCATGGCCATCACCTCCTCCCTGTCCTCAGAACTCTAGCACTGAGGTCCACACCTTCCCATTGTTAACGTTAACCTAAGAAGACACACAGACAGCGCCATAAAGCAGATATCACAATAGAATGAGTCGCATGACTTATTTTGTGTCCCATTGCATATAAAGGTTACGTTGACACTATACTGTAGTCCGTTAAGTGTACAATAACATTATTGGACACTTAAAAAAACTACATACCTACCTTAATTAAAAATACTATATCGCTAAAAAAAGGCTAAGCATCATCTGAGCCCTCAGTGAGAGGAAATCTTGGTGCTGGTGGAGGGTCCTGCCTCGATGTTGTGGCTGCTGACTAGTCGGGGTGGTGGTTGCAAATGGTGGGGTGGCCAGGGCAGTTTCTTAACATATGACAATGACGTTTGCTGCACTGATTGACTCTTCCTTTCACAGACTATTTCTCTGTAGTGCTCTCAGCATTTTACCCACAGGCTTCTTTCAAAACTGGAGTCAATCCTCTCAACCCCTATCAGCTAACTTTATGTGATATTTTAAATCCCTTGTTGTCACCTCAACAGTCTTCACAACATCTTCACCAGGAGTGGATTCCAGCTCAAAAAACTACTGTCTTTGCTCATCTGTAAAAATCAATTCTTCATCCTTTCAAATTTGGTCATGAGGTTGCAGTAATTCAGTCACACCTTCAGACTCTACTGTTAATTCTAGATATTTTGCTATTTCCACCACATCTGCAGTTACTCCTCACTGACGTCTTGAACCCCCCTGAGGGCTGGAACCACCTTCTTCCAAACTCCTGTTAAGTTGCTGTGTTGATCTATTTCCACGAATGTCCTTAATAGCTTCTAGAATGGTGAATCCTTTCCAGAAAGTTTCCAATTTACCTTGCACAGGTCTATCAGAAGAATCATATTTATGTGAGCTATAGCCTTACAAAATAATGACTTGAAATTCGAAATGACTTCTTGATCCATGGGCTATAGAATGGGTGTTGTGTTAGCAGGCATGCAAACAACATTAATCTCATTGTCCGTTTCTATCAGAGCTCTTGGGTGACCAGCTGCATTAGCCTCTAACAAGAGAGTCAGCCTGTCCTTGAAGCGTTAAAGCCAGGCATTGACTTCTCTCCAGCTATGAAAGTCCTAGGTGGTGTCTTCCAATATGAGCCTGTCTCTATGTATTACAAATCTGTTGTTCAGTGTAGCCACCTTCATTAATTATCTCAGCTAGATCTTCTGAATAACTTGCCACATCTTCTATATCAGCTCTTGCTGCTTCACCTTGTACTTTGATGTTATAGAGATGGCTTCTTCCCTTTAACTTCATGAATCAATTTCAGACAGCTTCAGACTTTCTTTCTGCAGTCCCCTCAATTCCCCCAAGTCTTCATAGAATTGAAAAGAGTTAGGGACTTGATCTGGGATAGGCTTTGGTTTAAGGCAGTGGTTCTCAACCTTCCTAATGCCGCGACCCTTTAATACAGTTCCTCATGTTGTGGTGACCCCCAATTTCATTGTTACAAACTGAACATAATTAAAGCATAGTGACTAATCACAAAAACAATGTGTAATTATATATGTGTTTTCCGATGGTCTTAGGCTACCCCTGTGAAAGGGTCGTTCGACCTCCAAAGGGATCGCGACCCAGGTTGAGAACCGCTGGCTTAAGGGAATGTTGTGGCTGGTTTGATCTTCTATCCAGACCGCTAAAACCTTTTGCACATAAACAATAAGGCTGTTTAGCTTATCACTGTGTATTCACTGGAATAGCCCTTTTAAGTTCCTTCAAGAATGTTTCCTTTGCATCACAACTTAGCTGTTTGGTGCAAAAGGTCTGGTTTTAAGCCAGTCTCAGCTTTTGACATGCCTTCCTCATTAAGCTTAATCATTTCTAGCTTTTGATTTAAAGTGAGAGACATGTGACTGGTCCTTTCACTTGAACACCTAGAGGCCATTGTGGGATTATTTATTGGCCCAATTTCACTATTGTTGTGTTTCAGAGAACAGGGAGGCCTGAAGAGAGGGACATAGACAGGGGAACGACGAGTGAAGCAGTCAGAACACACACATTTATCAATTAAGTTCACTGTCTTAATGGGGTGGTTCATGGTGCCCCAAAACAATTACAATAGTAACATCGATCACTGATCACAGATCACCATAACAGATATCATAATGATGAAAATCTGAAATATTGTGACAATTACCAAAACGTGACACAGAGACACAAAGTAAGCAAATGCTACTGGAAAATGGCACCAATAGACGTGCTCAATGCAGGGTCATCGCACGTCTTCAATTTCTAAAAACACAATTTCTAAAAGCGCCATCAATGAAACGCAATGAAACAAAGTGTGCCTATACACCCCATGGTCTCTGGTCACTGCCACGTCCACACACTGGCCCAGAATCGCTGGCCCAAGGCCTCGAGTGCAGGGTGCCCTGAGGTGGGCATGCACAGCCTCAAGTCCACTGAGGTTTATCCTGGCATGAGCCTCTAAAAGGGAGATTACTGCCTGCAGAATTTCATGTTCCCCTCAAAAATGTGCCCATGCATTCTCATATGCCACATCGGATGTGCCCGGTTCCCTGCACTCCAGCCACGAGTCCTCCCGCTTTCTTTCCTTGCCTTTTCAAACTTCCACATCTTTGATTCCTAGCGATGCTGGATTTTCTCCTGTGTTACCTGCTAGTTGTATTCTACCTGTCATGTATCTGAGCATAACCTGTGTTATCTTTTTGATCTTTTTCTCATTGATCTGTAGACAGACGTTCTTGTATTAAGAATATGAATAGTCTTGCCTGCTGCATATATTATAAAAACATTTTTCACTTTGCTGTTTGCCACTCAGTTTGTGTTTATGGCACTTTGTGATATTCAGAAATTTTTGTAGCCAAATGTATAAATCTCCTTTTTTGTTTGTTTTTGCATTAACATAAGTCATGCTTAAGCCTCCCTGAAAGGCTCTCCATGGTGCCCACTATTTCTTCCAGTGCTGCGACAGTGTCATTTACAGCCTTACTTGATTTAGGCTTTATTTTCATGAGTGATGTAAAATTCTAATTTCATTGTTTTTCGGAGTTTCCTATTCATCCCATGATCCTTTGCCTGATCTGAAATAGCACCTCATATGTACCCTACCCACTAACATTTTGAAATAGAATTCCATGAAAATCATAAAACCTGATTATTAAAAACATTTTTCCTTGATTCCTCTGTTCATCTTTCCCTTTTCTTTTTATGTTTTTGTCCCTTTCCCTCAAGGTAGTTTTGTGGATTTGACCAAGTAAGCAGGAACTCTCTGTGCCCCCCGGCCCCCACAGGGGACAGTTTCTGCTCCTGGCGGCGGTGGGCCCCCACAGCCCCCGTGCAGATTCTTGGGGAGGGGGACAGGTTGGCCTGTGCCAGGGCCTCAGGCACTGGAGACACAGTGGAGGATGGAGGACAAGGCCATCAGGGTTCTGCCCTATGGCTGACAACGTCTAGTTGGGGAGACAATGACAGTGGGTGCAGGAGTAGTGGAGGGGCAGGGCCTGGGAACGGAGACGAGGCGGGCAGGACCCTGTTCAGGCCTCCCTCCTTGGCAGGTCAACACGTTCCAGACTGTGCTCATTACGGACGGCAAGTTCTCTTTCACCATCTTCAACTATGAGTCCATCACGTGGACCACAGGCACACATGCCAGCAGCGGGGGTGACGCCACTGGCCTGGGGGGCATCGCGGCCCAGGTAGGGGTCCCTGCTCCCCATTGCCAGCACTGTCATGAGCTAATGAAACAGGCAGACCTCTCCCCGCCCCCACCCCCACCCCCACCTCCACATGCACTACTGTGCAGAGGCTGGTGCAGGGTGATCCAAGCCCTCTCACCACTCAGAACCACAGAAACATCCTTGGCCAAAGGCCTTTGTCCTGACCACACTGCCTGGCCACTGCAGCAGGGAAAAAGGTCCTGGGATCTCTGCACCGACTGCCCCCAGGTCTGGCAGGGTTGTGGCCCCAAGGACCCCGGCCAGCAGGAAGTCCCAGGTGTGGAGGGCATGGTCAAGGGCCACTGCCCAGGGCCTGCTGGTCCCCTTCTGGCTGTGCACTCCCACCTACTTCCCCTGAGGCTGCACTTGCCGCTGGCCCCTAGGGGAGACCCAGAACCCAGCAGTGAGTCATGGGGTGGGGGGGGGGCGTGGGGGTGCCAGGCCGAACCAAGTCTTTGGCTCAGGGCCTGGCTGGGAGGCTGCTGACATTGGCAAGGACAGCGTGGTGGGGGGAAGGGGTGGATACCCCTACACCTTAGAGCTCTCCGGCTGTCTCCCACACAAGCTCTTTGACCTTGACAGTGTGTGCAGGAATGGTGGATGGGGCAGGGCCCCATCTGGGGGAGGTGGGAGCTTTAGGGAGACCTGCGGACCCAGCCCGCACCTGCCCCCACTCTCTCGCACCCACCCAGGCTGGCTTCAACGCGGGAGATGGGCGGCGCTACTTCAGCATCCCAGGCTCGCGCACTGCGGATATGGCGGAGGTGGAGACCAGCACCAACGTGGGCGTGCCCGGGCGCTGGGCTTTCAGAATCGATGATGCCCAGGTGCGCGTGGGGGGCTGCGCCCAT